ATATATATATATATAACTGAATTGTGATAACTTTTGATGTTTCGACCATATTTGTCAGCAATGATAGGACTACAGCAGTGCTGTAGGTAGGCTTGATAAATTATTGAGGAATTATCCTTTTGTTGGGTTGCAGGAGGTTTGAAATGGATCGGGAGCCTAAGAGCGCCAGATACTGTGCTGAGTGTAACAGGTTGCATCCTGCCGACGAAGGAGACTTTTGGGCAGAATCAAGCATGTTAGGCCTCAAGATCACCTACTTTGCACTAATGGATGGAAAGGTGTATGACATCACAGGTACAGTTTTGCTCTCTAGAAGAATGAACTCATACTACCTAATTTCATTTGTGTTCTAAACTGTGCTGTTTTGTTTTCATGTTTGCAGAATGGGCTGGATGCCAGCGTGTGGGAATTTCCCCAGATACCCACAGAGTCCCCTATCACATCTCATTTGGTTCTCGGGTCCCAGGCACCAGTGGGAGGCAAAGGTAAGTGGTATGTTTCTTCATTAATTTATCCATAATTTTAGTTTTGAGTCCGGTTTTAGATGACATACTATTTGGGAGTAGCTTTCTAACACATGAATTGTCATAAGTCTGGGGTTGACTCCATGGCAGCTAACAAGTGCCTCTTTCTCTAGGAACTAGCTAAGTATCTTTAACTTAGGTAATCATATGATCCCAGCAACATTTCTATTCTCATTATTTCTTCTGTTTTATTCGCAGAGCCACTCCAGATACTCCTCCTGCTGACCTTCAGGATTTCTTGAGTCGGATCTTTCAAGTACCCCCAGGCCAGATGTCCAATGGGAACTTCTTTGCATCTCCTCAATCTGGCCCTGGCACTACCACGGCCTCTAAGCCCAACAGCACAGTACCCAAGGGAGAAGCAAAACAGAAGCGGCGGAAGAAAATGAGGAGGCCCTTCCAGCGTTGACAACCCTTCTCATCTTTCTTTAAATCAATGTCAGGGAGTCAAAAGGGCTGTGTACAGCACAGGATGGAGTTTGATTTGCTTATTTTAAAAAAGGGAAATTTTTAAGCTCAAATTGTTCACTGAGTACTTGTAGGAATCATTCTCCCTTCTTCCCCAGTACCCAGGAATTGAATTTTGTCTTCTGACAATACCAAAGAAATAGGAAGTGGCTAGTGCTAAGAACCTAGGGCTTGGACTATACAGTGTATCCCATAGCAGTGTGGGAGCTGGTTATTTCCCTGGGGTCTGTTTGCCTTTGTCTTATCTTTTGCTTTTAGAGCAGATGACACTTTTTCTCCCCCCTTTTAAACTGAGTCTTTCTTATTTCTTCAACCATTTTAGGATGGATCTCCCCTCCTTTATACCCATATACTAGTTAAAAGACAGAACAAGAAAGCATGTAGCCCTAATTTTAGGAGTTGTATAGAGTTCAGAGTGGAAACTTCGAATTCTTTCATCCTCTGACTTTCACCCTTGTGGGTAATAACCCAATTTCAGGCTTGTTGCTGCAGGGATGGCCAAAATTAATAATTTTTAAAAAGCAGACTCATGCCCTTTGGCCCTTGGTTGAGGGGGAAGGATAAGGGGATTCTCAGCAGTCCCCTTATGATCCAAGGGTTTGTATTTTTTTAAGTTTGTTCATATTTGTATGTACATATCTATTTAAAGCCAGGGAATTATCTTTCTATAAATATTTAACTGGCAACTTGTATTTTTCCTCTCTTATTTGCCCATATTGCTGGACCCCTTTTTAACATTTGAAAAGTCTTTTCATATTGTATTACCTGAGAGTGAATATCACCCCCTACTGGACTAAAGGAGAAGTTAAAAAATAGTTTGGAGAAATTTTATATAGTGAGTCAAACATTCTTTCTTCCCTAGCCTTATGAAGACATCGCCTTACTCTCTCTTCCTGTTTACCAAATATTAACCTGATTTGGAAAATAAGTAATTTTATTATAAGGAAAACATATAATAAAACATAGCACAAAGTTGGTGGGGGTGAAAGATATGGAAAAAGTTAACAAACAAGTTGCCCAAACATGGCTTCCTGCTGTGGAGAAGAGATTTAACCCTTACCTCATCTGCCTTTTCTAATTCAAAGAAACTTGCTCCTAGCCTGGCTGAGCCCAAGGAGCTCCATTTATCAATCTCTTCCTGGAGGTGTGGGAAAGGGTGTATAGTTATTAGGCTTTCAAGATACAGAAGATAATATGGAGAAGGAAAGGAAGCACATTACAGCCTTTTATTCCAATGTCTTCTCCACCCCTGTGGAGCTGTCCCCTGTGCCATCCCTCAGTACTTGTTGATGCCAAAGAGACGAACCCCATGGAACTGGGGCAACTTAGGCAGCAGTACGCTGAGCAGTGAGGCTGTGTTGATGAGAAAGTGAGCAGCATCATACTTGGTATAGAAGCTGGCCAGGAGGTAGCTAGGGAGAAGAAACAGGATGAGTGAGGTTTGCCTGCCTTTATCCACATTCATGTCTTTCCAGTGATTTCTGTTGTTTTAATGACCAGTTCTGTTCCATGTAGTCCTATGACATCTGAAAACATTGCAGCTATATCAGTAACATTTACGTTAGGATTGGGAGATCATCCGATAGTACCTTTTTAATTGGTAATGACATGTGCCAATGAAACTGTTTCATCCTGTAGGACTGCTGAAGTCCTATTCGCTTCCACTCCCCACAGTTTTCATAGATTGACATCATTTCTTTATTCACTTCTCTTTAGAAGTGTAAAAACATTTGGTTTTACTTGCATTTTTTCTCAGTCTCCATTCCCCTACCAGGAACAAGGAATGCTTGATTGTTATTTTCTACTTTTTAACTGTTTTCCCTAGGTTTAAAACTAGTATACCACGATACCTTCAGAGGGTCTTGGATGAGTAGCCTGCTTTTTAAAAAAACTTTTCTGTGGGTCTTTTTACCTGGCTTGTGGAGCTCTTTCTTATCCAGCATCTCCCATATCCCCCCCTCCCCCCAAACTTACAGTACTATAGGAGAGATGCTGAGGAACTTGCGGGAAGAGGTAAACTGGAGCCCATAGTCCATCTGCTCCCAGTGTGTCAGTAGCCGAGCTTTTCCTTGGTCAGGGGTTTCAAAGGGTGTCCCTTTCACAGTATGCAGAAAGACATACATAGCCTAGGAGGAGGGAAAGGACAGTATGAAGGGGCAGAAGGTAGTTCAACCCACCCAAGAATTCTAAGGTAGGAATTAATAGGATTCCAAGTGGAAGACCAAGCCCCAAAGAACTGGTCATTTTATTTTGTTTTTAATTGGGATGAATATAGGGTGTAGTTTAGTGCTCACCAAGTTATGGATGACGTTGGTCAGGGTCCAAACAACAGGAATGCTGAAGAAGGGGATGCTGAGGAGAACCACATGCAGCAGTCCTACCAAGATGATGTAGGCCAGCCAGATGCCCCGGCTATTCATCACTCGGGTGTTGGGGTTTACTTCACTGTGTGCCACCCCCACATTCATCCTACCACAGTGGAGGATCAGGCAGGAGTCCAATTCAATTTCCTTTCAATTTTAGAAGAGCTTGTTCCATTTGGCCTCCCAGTCTCTCCTGAATGATCCCAAATCCCATGACTTCACGGGGAATGAGAACTTTCCCATTATGGACAAAGAAAAACTAGAAGGCTTGGGAAAAAAATTTAAAGACAGGAAAAATCTAACCTATATTTTAGACAGCAATTTTTACTGTAATTTGAAATAAGCCAAGGTTTGGTGCACCCGCTTCTAGCAACAACAGACATAGGAGTATCTCATTTTTACTGAAACTCCAGAAGAAGATCACAGGATTTAACGAACCACCCAGAGAGTTGCGGGGACCAAGCTACTTCTAATTCCCCTTTTTTTTTGCTGGGTCTGTCAATCCTGTCCCTCATTTCTTTGGCTCGCAAGAAGCCGGCATCCCGATTCCTCTCAAGCGTGGGCGCAGCAAGACCTCGCCCGGGACTACTCAACAGCTCGAGATGGAACCCTAGCCCTGATTCTGGAGTGGTTCTGGTCATCTGGACGTGGCCCTTTTAAATCCGTGAAAACTTGAAAGTTGATGCTTGATTAGGCAGCAGCTCTTGTCCACCTCTACCTAAAATTCTCTAAACCCTGCTACGGAGCTCGTCCGGCGATTCTCCCATCTCTCCTCCTGTTTGTCGGGTACCCTCAGGGCCCTATCTAATACTCGTCTCTCTTGTTTTTAACTTCCCCACACCTTCCTCTCCGCCCCTCACCTTTTTTTTCTTAGCAACCCCTTTCCAGTCTCCGTGTATCCCCTACCTGACAGCTTCTTCCCTCCTAGGGCGCAGCGCCGGCTTTCACACACCTGTACTCTTCAGGAAGCAGCCCCCGCCCATTTTCTCTCTCCCTATTGGTGGAACAGAATTAGCGGTGCCGTAACCTATTGGTTGGTGGTTTGCAATGGGGACGCACAATTGGTCGTCATTTCCGTCGTTCAGAAGAGAACCCTCCCTTTACTCTGTCCCAACCTTTAGAGAGAGGTGGGGAAAGCTGCCTAGACAAGTGAGACCCACGCCACCTATTGACTAATGGGAAGAGCTGATGGTGTAGGGTGGAAGTAAGAGTGTCAGCGATTGGCCAGCTGTGGTTCTGTGCGCCTAGGCGGGAGCTCTTAGAGGCGGAGGCCACGGGTGGGGGCCTAGTAGAGTCGAGGGGGTAGCAAGATGGCGGCGGAGACGGTGGAGCTTCATAAGCTGAAGGTACAGTAAAGGGGAGAAGGACTGATTTGGACTTTTATGAGAACTGAATTTTGAATAGTGGCTTGCGCCTTCTCCTACCTGTTCTCCTTGCAAGTTTTTGCATTTTGTGTTCCGGCTCCCGTCGTAGTTAGCCGGCTTTTCTTTTGTGCCTGCCTTCTTCCCTGCTACACTTTCCCTACTTTTCCGTTTTTCCGCACGACTTTACTGGTAACTCTACGTATTACTTCGACTTCCTGGTTTCCTTCATATCTGTATCTCCGGTCACCCTTCCCCACCGGGTTGTGTAAGTGCCTTCTACCTGTTATACCCCCTTTTCGTTTCTTGTCAGAGCTACATTACGTCAGTGGTACCCTCCTCATTGCCCCACGCCGGCCACGGGACCCCTTTTTCGTTCTGGTTGATGTATCCTTTCCGTTGACCAAAGTTGAGATTTCTCTATTAGCAGGTGATGGCACCTTTGCGTTTTTATGTCCTCTAGGATTGAAACCTGGTCCAGAAAATGCGCCCACTCCTTTTACAGGTGGGATTTACGTCCCCTGGGGCTAACTTTGAAACCTGGGAGATGCTTGGGGCCCAGGAGGCCTTAAGAGTTAGTAAAGGCACAGCGTCCTCAAGTTTTAAAGTTTTTTGAATTCTCTTAGTGGTTTCCAGTTCTCCTGGCCGCAGTTTCTGGCATTACCCCTGGAGAGAAAACTTCAGTTCTGTGGGAAAACAGCCTGAAGGTTATCTCTGCCCTATTCCTATGGCACACGGACCTTGCATCTCTTGGTATCACCAGAGTGACACTCCAAATCACAGAAGCTATTTAAAGCCATGTGTCTTGGTAGCTTCCTCACATTTAGATGGTCATTTTCCTGGAAAAAAAGAATAGTTTTGTTTTAGGATAATTATGAGAGTATCTTGATAAGTTGCCCATTTGTGTTTCACAGTTTTCCCATTAGATGTTTCTGTCACATCATCCTGGGAATTGTGATAAAAGGAGGCTGATTTTGCCAAAATTGAAAGTTGATCCTTTAGGACTTGATGACCAATAGTTTTAGAACTTGAAACCAGTTATGTTTTAGTAAGGCTAAGGAGAGGTTCTTTCTTGATTACTTACTAGTGACACCAATTGCCTTTTTGTGAAAGCGGATCTATTTCTTACCTTTGATTTCTAAATTATACTAGTGGGTTTTGTGTTATCCTGGAATTAACTGTTAAATTGGTGGTACTGAAATGTATAGATATATCAGTAGCTTCTTACTGTCTATCTAATCATGAGTAAAGAATTTGAGCTACCACCTTCAATGTGTGTGTACTTATTTATCAATTACAAATACACTATTATGTTATTACATATATTATAAAGCACATACACAAAAAGTGATTTTGAATGGCTGAGATAAAAGGAAATATGAATAGAAAGTCTAGTATTTTCTTCCTATTCATACCATTTTTTAAATCCCTGGAGTAAATCCATCAGTTGCCCACAAGATATATCTTTATGGATTTTGTGTTGGTTTACAGAGTTCTTCCTTCCATCAAGTCTGTATTTTTCAGATCTATAGTAAATTTGCATTTGATTGGATAAGTCCTTTTTTACAAAATGCCCTCAGACCTGATTTCAGGTATTAGAGTAAGAGAACATGAGGCATTCCAGACAGTCTAAAATGGACTCGCTCTTTTAATCACATTTGCTTGTCTTTGCTTTTTCTCTAGAGCACTTCTTAACCTTTTGGAGGTCACAGATATCTTTGAAACTCTGATGAAAGGTATGGACCCTCTCCCCAGAAAAAGGCATGTACACATATTTTGCATGCGATTTGAGGGGCCTCATAAAACTACCTTGTAGCCCTGAGGAGTCCATGGACCTCTGGTTAAGAACCCATGCCTTTAATTATGACTTCCAGAACAGTTATTCTTTGGTTCAACTGGTGGTCTTGATGGAGTGATCATGAATTTTGGGTTGACATAAGGTTTTACCATTTTTTAAAAAAAAAAGCAAAAAAGGAAAGTAGGTTAAGTGTATGACCAAAAGGATAGATTAGAATGATACTGGAAAGGGCCTTTGAAGTTGTGTAAGGAGTCCTGATAAGGTACTGTAAAATAAGCAGTGGACTGCTACCTGCAACGTTGGTGATTCAAACCCATAAGCTCCTCAGAAACCCTATACAGGGTCCCTGTTAGTCAGAACTGACTCCACGGCACTTAACTTCAAACTGTGTAAGGAGTTTGACTTGTCATGTAGGCAGAAATGGGGGGATGGTCTCACCTGTTTGTGTTGTATTGGTAGTGTAGAGGATGGGATCTAGAGGGCAACAGATTTTAACAGCTAGGTGTTTGTTACAGTAGTTATTCCTGTACTGAAAACCTTTTAATGATGTTGTTGTCAATCTCTTCAGTCTGTAGCTTATCACACTCCAACCACAGTGGCTTTTTCCATTTTCTCAGAATAGCTACCGTCATTCATTTCAAACACTAACATACCATTTATTATGTGGTAAGTGCTAGTCATAACTGTTTAAGTACTTTAACTGGTTTAATTCTTATCACTTGATAAGGTAAATACAACTATTGTCCCATTTTAAGATGAGAAAACTAAAGCACAGAGTAACTAAACAACTAATTGAGTAATTTTTGCCATAGTGTCAGTTTTTGAAACCCATGGAGTAAATCATCAGCTATCCCCATGAATTGCCTTTATGAATTTTTTGTTGGTTTATAAAGTTCTTTTTGTCAAATCTGTATAAGAATGTATAAAAATGCCTAAGTTATGGCTCAAACTCAAGCAGTCTGTCTACAGCTATGTTCTTAAATCATAAACTTCCTGCTTCTCTTTTTGACCATAAAACCCAGAATCTTTATATTTGCTTCCAGTTTTCTTTTGCCTTTAGTGTTCCTGCCACCCCTCTTCCTAATACCTTTATGTAACTACTGTCATTCAACTTTATTTACCCAAGTAAGCTTTCCCTACCTCTCCATGCACATCATGGTCTAGCCTCTTTTTATGTATTTTTATAGATCTTGTGAAGTAGCCCAGGTGGCATATTGGGTTAAACGTTGGGCTGTTAATCACAAGGTCAGCAGTTCATACCCACCAGCAGTGCTGTAGAAGAAAGGTGATACTGTCTGCTCCCATAAAGATTTACAGTCTTAAACCCTGGGGAACAGTTCTACTCTGTCCTATAGGTTCAACATGAGTTGGAATTGGCTGGATAGTGTTGGGCTTGTAGGACTTTGTACCTTTTTTTAAGACACTACTAGATTGTGAATTCCATGTAAGCAAGGACACTTTCTCTTTTTGATGATTATTTCCCAGTGTTTAAGAGAATGCTTGATACACAGTAAGTGTTCAATACCAATTTCAAACATCAAATGAATTAATGTTTAAGACCTGAAATAAGGTAGTGGCTGTTAGAATGAGATCAAATTTGAAAGAGATGTAGAGTGTAGAATTGTATGAAATTTATAGATAAGTTAGATATTAGAGGAATGAAAGATGACTGCAAGATTGGTAGCGATACTGTCAGATCCCAACTCGATGGCACTTAGCAACAACAACTGTTAGGTTGGGAAGATAAGCCAGTTTTGTGTAGGAGAGAAGCTGTTTAGTTTTGGGGTTTGGTGCCTTTGGCACATCCACTTGAAGAAGTTTACTTGTCAGCTGGAAATGTGGGTCTTTTGCTCAAGGACTGAAAGTAAAAGTTTGGGATTAATTTTTTTAAATATTTGTTGAATAGTGTAGCTCTGTGGGCTAATGCACTGGACTGCAAAGTTGGTTTGAACCACAAGACTGGCGGTTCAAGCTCACCAGCTGCTCCTTGGAAACCCTGTAAAGGGTTGCAGTGGGTTGGAACCAACTCGATGGCACTTAACAACAACAACAATAAGGATTTAGCAATGAACAAAACACAAAAATCCTGGCCCCCATGGAGTTTGTACTTTACTGGGAAAGGCACAGTAAGTTCTTTAAGGCAAAATGAGAAGTAGAGTAGGAAGAATTATCATTTTAAAAGGGTTAACCAAGTAAAGCTTCATTGAGAAGGTGATATTTAAGCAGAATTAAAATAAGGTGGAGTAAGCTGTGTGGAAAGTGTTCAAGAAATATCACAAGAAGCCACTTCTAACTTATTGAAGTGAGCAAGGGTAGTAGAAATAGTTGAACAGGCTTCACGGAGATGTAATGGTAGGGAACAGAATGTGTATGGTCTTATGGGTGATCATTAGGACTCTGGCACTTACTCCTATTGATATGTGAAACCAATGGGGAATTGGTTTGAGGGACATGACCTGACCTATCTATCCTTGGATGGCTTTTTCACACAATAGCACCATGCAGTTGAACCAAACAGCAAATCCCACCTCAAATAGTAATTTCTTGGGCTTAAATCTTCCACCTCAGCACAACACAGGTCTGGGAGGGATCCCTATAGCAGATTGAATTTGGGAGTGCAATGGGTCTGTAGGGTAAGCACTTGACTGCAAACCACCAGATTGGTGATTTGAGCCTACCAGTCACTCCATGAAGTTTTCTGCTCCTGCAAAGATTTGCATCCTTGGGAAACCGTATACAGGGTTGCTATGAGTTGGACTGACCGAAGGCTCTTAACAACTTGATGATATTGTCAAAGGATCACTCAGTACTATATAGAGAATAAACTAGTGACATAAGGGGTTGAAGAGGTTTTTACAGTAGTCTGTATAAGAGAAAGACCAGGGGAGTAGTTTTCAAGATATACTGAGAAGGGATTCGATTTGGATATATTTTCAAAGTAGAACTGATAGGCTTTGTTGCTGATTTGATTCTGGGTAGTGAATGAGTGTTGTAAGTAGAATGAGAAAGAAGGAATCATAATGAATGTCAGTATTTATGGAGTTGGGTAGAACAACAGCTAAGAAGGAGTCTGAAGAAAAAAACCAAACTAAACCCTTTGCTATAGTTACCCTATAGCATAGGGTCAAACTTCTTCATGGGGTTTCCAAGGCTGTAATCTTTATCACGATGGGTCAGAACCGACTCGACAGCACTTAACAACAACAACAACAATCTTTATAGAAGCAGACTGTGGAGCAATTGTTAGGTTCAAACCTCTGATCTTTCTATTAGTATCTGAGTGCTTAACTGCTGTGCCATCAGGATTCCTTTGAGGCTGAAGAAGAGATGTAAAAGAATCAAGAGAGTGCAGTGTCAGTGTCTTAGTGGTTAGGATTATGAGTTTGAACCAGAAAAACCTGAGCTGGCATGTTGATTCCTTTGTCTACTAGCAAAAGGTGCACTGGTGTATAGTGGGTTAAACATTGGGCTGCTAATTTCAAGGTTGATGATTCAAACCCACCAGCCATTCCAAGGGAGAAATATGAAGCTGTCTGATCCTACAAAGATCTAGTCTTGGAAGTCCTAGGGAGCAATTCACTAATCTACCATTTAGAGTTGACTCTGGCTGGCAGTGGGTCATTTACTATCTGTGCGATTATAAACCAACTGAATCTCTTTATGTTTTATTTTCTTAATTTCATAAATTAGGGATCATAATACCAACCAGATAGGTTTGTTGTCTGCATTAAATGAGAAAATACATTCAAAGTACTTAACACTTTGGCACATACTGTTGTTAGGTGCCATCAAGTTGGTTCTGACTCATAGCAACCCTATGCACATAGAACAGAAAAACTGCCCAGTCCTGTGCTATCCTTACAGGTATTGTATGTTTGACCCCATTGTTGCTGCCACTGTGTCAGTCTGTCTCATTGAGGGTCTTCCTCTTTTTCTCTGACCCTCTACTATACCAAACAAGATGTCTTACTCCAGGAACTGATCCCACCTGACAGCATGTCCAAAGTACAAGAAACAAAGTCTCACCATCCTTGCTTCTAAGAATCATTCTGGCTTTACTTCTCAGACAAATGTTTTTTTGTTCTTCTGACAGTCCGTGGTGCTTTCAGTATTCTTTGCCAACACCATAATTCAAGTGCATTGTTTCTTCAGTAATCATTTTCCAACTTTCATTTGCATATGAGGTGGTTGAAAATACCATGGCTGGGGTCAGGCACACCTTAGTCCTCAACAAAGTGACATATTTGCTATTTAAAACTTTAAAAAGATCTTTTGTAGTACTTTTGCCTAATGTAGTATGTCATTTGATCATACAGATTGAGTAAGTATGGTAAAAGGATATAACCGTGACACACACCTTTCCTGATTTTCAACCATTCAGTATCCCCTTGTTCTGTTCTAAGGATTGCCTCTTGGTCTATGTACAGGGTCCTCATAAGCACTTGTTCTGAAATACCCATTTCTAGATGTTATCCATAGTTTGTTATGATCCACACAGTCAAATATCGCTGCATAATCAATAAAACACAAGTAAACATCTTTCTGTTATTCTCTGCTTTTAGCCAAGATCCATCTAACGACAGCAATGATACCCTTTGTCCCGTGTCCTCTACTGAATTCAGCTTGAGTTTCCGGCAGCTCCTTGTCGATACATTGCTGCAACCATTTTTAAATTATCTTCAGCAAATTTTATTTGCATGTGATATTAATGGTATTGCTTGATGATTTCTGCATTCTGTTGGATCACCTTATGAGCACAATTAAATGTTCTTGAATACCCATTTCAGATGTTATCCATAGTTTGTTATGACCCGCAGAGTTGAACGCCTTTGCATAGTCAGTGAAACATAAATAAACATCTTTCTGGCATTCTCTGTTTTTAGCCAAAATCTATCTGATATGAGTAGTGGTAACCCTCATTTTGTGTTCTGTTCTGAATTCAGCTTAAATTTCTGGCAGTTCAAGCCTACCAGCCACTCCACAGGCTTTCTGCTCCTGCAAAAGATTTAAAGTCTTGGAAACCGTATGCAGGGTCACTATGAGTCAAAACAGACTCCATAGCACTTAACAACAACAACCTGGTTCCAACTCATATAGCAATCCTATGCACAATAGAACAGAAAAACTGCTGATATTTTCAAAGGGTCACTGAATACTGTGTAGAGAATAAACTAGTGAGGTAAGTGGTTGAAGAGGTTTTTACAGTAGTCTGTATGAGAGGAAGACCAGGGGAGTAGGTTTCAAGGTGCTGAAAAGGGATTGTTTTGTTAGGTGCCATCGAGTCAATACCGACTCATAGCGACCCTGTGCACAACAGAACGAAACACTTGCCCGATCCTGGGCCAACTTAACAATGTTGCCAAGCTTGAGCCCATTGAGGCTGCCACTTAGCCAATTTATCTCACTGAAGATCTTCCTCTTTTTCTTTGACCCTCCACCTTACCAAACATGATATTCTTCTCCAGTGACTGGTCCCTCCTGACAATATGTCCAGAGATGAATTAGATTTGAACATATTTTCAAAGTAGAGCTGACAGGATTTGTAGCTGATCAATGTACTGCTGATCAATGATCAATGTACTGCTGCAACCGTTTTTGGATTATCTTCAGCAAAATTTTACTTGCATATGATGTTAATGATCTAGATTTCCTCATTCCACTTGGAATAGGAAGAGATATGGATTTTTTTCCCAATTGACTGGCCACGTAGCTAGCTGTCTTTTATGTTGGTCTGTATATTCCTTCCATGATGCTTTCTGCTTCTTTCAGTACTTTGCCCATTTTATTGTTGATGTTAAGTGCCTTTGATTTGGTTCTGACTCATAGCAACTCTATGAGTTTCTGAGGAGCAGCTGGTAAGCTTGAACCACTGACCTTGTGATTCAAACCGACTTCGTAGTCCAGCGCATTAACCTGCAGCGCCACATCGTGTACAGGGTCGCTATGAGTCGGAATCGACTGCATGGTACATAACAACAACAACACCAGGTCAGTAATGCAGGTTGAGGCTTGGGTTTTTTTCCTCCGTTGTTTCAGTTTCAGAAATGCTGTACATAATTCTTCCCCTTTGATTTTTTAGCTTAAGGTCTTTGTACCATTATAATAACTTGACTTTATCTTCTCGA